CTGCTGATATGGGATACTTTTGCTGTTGACAAAGTAGTGGAAGTATCGGCACGTGTTCTGTTACGCTTGTCTCCACATGCTTCCTTGTATCCTTCTCACTAGCCCTATATGTTCCTCAGACAGATGTGGTATCTTCTCTCTGGAAGCATAAGATGTTGAAGATGAGTACTCGAGAGCAATGCCAGGTAAGTAATCAGGTAAGGGGTTCCAGGCAGTCAGTTCCTGACTGGAAGCTTGATTCCAAGTGCTGACTGATTGCTTTCTTTCTCCTTGTCTTGCAGGTAAGAACAAGGTCAAAGGAAAAGACAGGGAAAAAAGCATGATATGGGATACTCTTGCTTTTAACCCTGATGATATGAGATATTCTTGCTCTGCTGTAGCTTGTTTGCAGAGGTATTATCGGGGGGAAAGAAAGCTGAGTATTTCGAGAGGCTTCGTTGGGAGTGCTCTCTCAAATATGAGGAAAGGTTGAGCATTTTTGCAGGTCTGCCTGTCCGTTGAGGATGGAGGTCGACATATATAAGAGTCTCCCTAACAACAAGTAGTAATGCTATTCCTTTACCCTTCTTGGTCATAGCATTGTAGTAGGAACTGCCCCGCTTCACATGTTTTAACTCTGTCAGTGCACTTTGAAAAAGTGGTATGTGGTATCTGGAAAGCTGATGTTACGTGTGAAGATTACAGACAAGCTTTATCCAAGGAGATCTGGCTCTCGAAGTTGAGCAAGTGATGCATTTTCGGTTTTCGAACAAGCGATCCTGTCGGGGATCTGGCTCTTGAGATTTGGAGAACGGCCTCTTCGATTTTTTAGAAAGCAATCCTGCTGGGAGTCTGGCTCTTAAAATTCGGAGAGCAGTATCTCTTCGATTTTTGAGAAAGTAATCATGTTGGGAGGCTGGCTCTCGAGATTCGGAAAGCGGTGCCTCTTCGAATTTGGAGCAAGCAATCTTGTTGGGAGTGTTTTCTCAAATGTGAGTGAAGGTTGGGCATTTTTGCTAGTCTACCTTGCCACGGAGCACAGAGGTTGACACACACAGGGACTTTCCAATTATCCAGCAGTGGTGCTGTTCCTTTACCCTTGTGGGTAATAATATGGTAGCTAAACCTTCAAAATTTATGTGTCTAAACTTTGTTAGTGCTGTTTCTTTGCTATTCTTTTACCCTTCTTGGTCATAGCGATGTAGTGGGAGCTGCAAGCTTCACGTGTCTAAACTTTGTCAGAGATCTTTGGCAAAGTTATCTGTGGTACCCATGAGCTGATGTTGCATGTGGAAAGTGGATGATTGAACAATAAGATTCACGTGCTTTCTACTTCACCAGAAATCTTCGACAGATTGCCCGTAATTTCCGCAAAGCTAAGTGTGCATGTGACAGGTGCTGAGAAGGCTGAGAAAGCAGGTGCATCTTCGATTTCTGAGATCGGCCCTCGTGGTCTCTGAGTAGCCCAGCTTTTGAGAAAGCAAGCACCTCTTCGATTTTTTAGATCGGCCCTCGTGGTCTTTGAGCAGCCCAGCTTTTGAGAAAGGAAATGCCTCTTCGATCTCTAAGATCGGCCCTCGTGGTCTTTGAGCAGCCCAGCTTTTGAGAAAGCAAACGCCTCTTCGATTTCTGAGCAGGCGCCTCTTCGATTTCTGAAGCTCCGTCGAGTGCAGATTTTTATAGAGGTTGGCATTAAGTTCCAAAGCACACTTGAATCTCCACTAGTAGAAGCTCCATTCTTGCACTTCTAAGATCTTGATTTGTTCGACCTCTTCTCTCTTTAACACCTTTGAAAATGTCTGGCCCTTCCGACCGTCGTTTTGACTTGAACCTTAGTGAAGAGGCAACCGCGCCTTCTCCAGACAACATATGGCGCCCATCCTTCTTATCCCCTACTGGTCCTCTTACCGTTGGGGATTCCGTGATGAAGAATGATATGACCGCTGTGGTGGTGGCCAGGAACATTCTCACTCCCAAAGATAACAGACTTCTTTCCAAACGGTCTGATGAGTTGGCTATTAAGGATTCTCTGGCTCTCAGTGTTCAATGTGCAGGTTCTGTTTCGAATATGACCCAACACCTATTTGCTCGAACCCGTCAAGTTGAATCATTGGTGGCTGAAGTGATGAGTTTCAAGCAGGAGATTAGAGGGCTCAAGCATGAGAATAAACAGTTGCACAGGCTCGCACATGACTATGCTACAAACATGAAGAGGAAGTTTGACCAGGTGAAGGAATCTGATGGTCAGATTTTACTTGATCATCAGAGGTTTGTGGGTTTGTTCCAAAGGCATTTATTGCCTTCGTCTTCTAGGGCTGTACCGCGTAATGAAGCTCCAAATGATCAGCCTCCGATGCCTCTTCCTTCTAGGGTTCTGTCCAGTACTGAGGCTCCAAGTGATCACCCTCCGGTGCCTTCTCTTTCTGGGGCTCTACCGACTGCTGAGACTTCTCCTAAGCAACCTTTGTGAAGGCCCCCTCTTGTTTGTTTATTTTGACTCATGTATATGTACATATTTGTAACTTATCAGAGGTATCAATAAATAAACTTTGCTTCATTTCAACGTATTGTGTTAAATACACCAAAGCCTTCTTCACTAAGTTCTTTGAATTTTTCTTTTATTGAAGCTTGTATGTTGAAGCTTTGTGAGTGAAACATATAGGTTGAGATAGTGTTCCCTTAATTTTTTGAGTGAGGAAAACTTCTGTTGGAGACTTGAAAAATCCAAGTCACTGAGTAGGGTCGGCTATATGAATCTTAGAACGCCATTGTGCTCGGTCCTGTGTCATGTCCTCCGTTAGATCCAAGTACTCTAAGTCTTTTCTTAGAGTCTCTTCCAAAGTTTTCCTAGGTCTTCCTCTACCCCTTCGGCCCTGAACCCCTATCCCGTAGTCGCATCTTCTAACCGAAGCATCAGTAGGCCTTCTTTGCACATGTCCAAACCACCGTAACCGATTTTCTCTCAACTTTCCTACAATTTCGGCTACTCCTACTTTACCTCGGATATCCTCATTCCTAATCTTATCTTTTCTCGTGTGCCCATACATCCAACGAAACATACTCATCTCCGCTACACACCCATTTTGTGTACGTGTTGATGCTTCACCACCCAACATTTTGTGCCATACAGCATCGTCGGCCTTATTGCCGTCCTATAAAATTTTCCCTTGAGCTTCAGTGGCATACAGCGGTCACACAACACGCCGGATGCACTCTTCCACTTCATCCATTCAGCTTGTATTCTATGGTTGAGATCTCTATCTAATTCTCCGTTCTTTTGCAAGATAGATCCTAAGTAGCGAAAGCAGTCGCTCTTTGGTATTTCCTGATCAACATAACACAAGGATAAGAGAAAGAAAAAAAAAATACCTAACAAAAGCGCATGCAAGCCAATGCACCTCTGTCAAACACGTGATCCTCCACTTACAAAGAAGAACAATATGAAGAAGTAGAAGATTTTTCAAACTGTCAATCAGTAATCTCTTTTTCCAATAAAAGGTCTATCTCTTTTCAAATCTCCTAGAAATTCAACTTTTTTTCAATCTCCAATTTCTGAACAACCAAACGGACCTCAATGTCATCTTGATTCAAGCAAATGAAGTTAAAGATCAACAAGACCTGCAATTTCAGCTCCATCTCGGTCCTTCCTCCTCACTCAAGGATTGACTATTAATTTTTTGGAATTTCAATCGCAAAGTGTTGTTTGGTTCCCGAGGAAACACATGAAGATGATTGGCAGAAATGTCGAAGTTTTTCATCTTTAATTTTCATTGTTTAATGAAGTTTTCACTTAATCGAGCTTGTTAGATTCGATTTTTCGCCTACTTCTTGTTTTGGATTACATGTTCTGTAGGTTCCATATCAGTCCTACATGCTTTCATGCACGAGAGTTCTGTTTGGCTCACGAAAATGTAGGAAAATTGTTGAGAAAATTAGGTTTTGAATCTGAAGCTTCGTATCATTTAGGATTCTCAATTATTTGAGTAAAATATGAGCTCGATTTTTATTTTTTCTTATGAATTTCGGGTTCGATCCATAATTCACAGTATCATCTAGGATTCTCAATTATTTGAGTAAAATATGAGCTCGATTTTTATTTTTTTCTTATGAATACCGGGTTCGATTTATAATTCACAGTATCTTTTGTTTGATTTGTTTGGGAATATGCTAAGAAAAATAAACTTTAAGTGTGAACCATATGAATTTCAATCACCTCCAGTTCTAATTTTTTCTTTGTTTGATTAGAAAATATAAAAAATTGAAAGAGTTCAATATAAAAAACTGGACTAAGAAAGAGACACTATTTATGAAACTATACTAAAAAAGAAACTATTTATGAAATTGTACCAATTAATATTCACTATTTATGAAATTAGACCAAGAACTAGACACTATTTATGAAACATGACAAATAATTAGGCACTATATATGAAAGACCAATAACTGTGTACCATTTATGAAAATGGATCAAGAATGAGACACTATTTATGAAACTATACCAAGTACTATACACTATTTATGGAACGGGACCCGATAACTAGACACTATTTATAAATAGTGTAGTACCGTTCAGTTTCATAAATAGTGTACTACCGTTAAGTTTTATGAACAGTGTAGTACTGTTTAGTTTTATAAACAGTGTTTGTAATGGATGCGCAGATCCCACGCGTAAGGTTTTTTTTTTAAAAAAAAATTGTATTAAAATTGTGTCATTTTCATAAACATTTAAGTTCTTTTGTCATCTTTGTTGAAATTTAAGGATTTGTCATTAAAATTTAAGTTTTTTTTCCATTAAATAAAGTTATAGCATGGTGTTTTGTTAAAATAAATTTAGTCCAAGTCTTTTTAATAAAAGTTCCCTTTCAGAAATAATATAGGTTATTTAGGTTTAGTTTATGAAATAGTGTGGGTTATTTTGTTGTAGTTTCATAAATAGTGTGAGTTATTTTGGTTCAGTTTTCCGAAATAATGTGAGTAATTTTGCTGTAATTTCAGAAATAGTGTGGGATATTGCGGTTCAATTTTGGAAATAATATTTGTTATTTTGCTGTAGTTTCAACACCTGCTAATACAATGAGAAAGTGCTCCTTTTAATGGTCGCACATTTCAGAACGTTCTCTAGTGTCAATACAGATTAGCAATACGATAAACGAAAGTTGCTTCTAATCAATCACACATTCAATTTCTGGTTTTTTTTCACTTGTTTTTTTTTACACATTTCATTGTCCAGCAAAGGGAGTGCCCAGGGAATGTGAGGTGCCCGCCCGGTCATGTCTTCTTCAGAATGTACCCCAAAATAATGCCAATCAAGCCAACTAGAAGAAGATACATAAATGGAATACCACCAGCACTCCTGTTGGCCTCGCGCCTCAAAACATCCTGCATATGATGTTTTATTAGTACTAGCACGAGTCAACAATCTCGTTTCACTTTCACCTAGATGCTTAAAGCAAAAATAGATGAATTTAAAAAAAATGAAAGCAACCACCACCAGATTGTTGTCTGTTAAAATGGATATGAACCTGTTTCATTCAAGGGAGTAAATACTGTTCGATAACTCTATAATTTGGAGTAAAAGCTTGAAGTTGCGGATAAGCTTCCCACGAGGAACTTCGAGCTCAAATCTTGACACCGTCAGGGATGTCCATGGTCTCAGAGGAGAAGATGGTCTTCATCTCCGCTGCTCAGGTTCTCTCACTCTCGCTTTGTGGCTTCGATTGGTGAGTGAGTGCGATTTGGGCGAGACCAGGGAAAAGAGTTGGAATTAACAAGATGGAAGGAAATGAAGGATTTGAGGTTATGGAGGCAGAGAGATCCAGAAAGGAAATAGAGAACTTAAACGGAGTAGACTTGCCGTCAGGGCCAAAACCAAAAATTCATTAGTTGGGCTATGTTTATTGGACTGATTAAATGTTGAACTTTGTCCTAACCATTAAATAAATCTATTACGCCAATTCTAGCTAAATTTCTTTGTCATTTAATCAAATTTAAAAAATTTATACTCTTTAAGAAAACGCATATGAATATACCTCTTTAATATATTTGGTGCCCCCAATTTTTTTGGACCCTGGACGGTCGCACTGGGCCACGGCCCGGTCCGAAAAAAGCTCTTCAATATCCATACCAGGTGCTAGTAGCTGTTGGTTTTCAAAATCAGATGCATTGTTGTTGTAAGTACTAGATTCACGTTCATGACAGTTTGCAGCATCCACATTCTCACCTGATTTCTTCTTTACGCAACAGACAACTAAATCCCTCTGCACAATTAAGTTGCAAAAACCAATCATGTAATGCAGTGGCAGCAACACAAAATTAAACAATGTTCAAAAACAAAAGTCATTGAAGTTTGCACATTTACATTAAATACCAATTTGGCTCCAAGGGTTTCAATTTCGATCCTTTCAATGGTTTCAGAACCAAAACCCCTTGGAACCAAACCAAATAGGCTTCGGTTTCACAACGAAAACCCCTCAAGCCTCCAGTTTACAACTTACCTCATAAAAATTGTTAAACAATGCTGCAAATTATACATCATATCGATAACATTATTCGGAAACAATAACCCCAAAAAAGGAACAAGAATGGTGACCTGATTATCATTAGGATTGGTTTGGGGATGTAATACTCATGCATAACCCAGTCGGTATTTTGGGGATTCCGAACACGACCTTGCTTAAAAGTTAGAATCCTTTTTTCACCAATGACACTTCTTTTGTCTTTAGTCTTGACCTGTTTTCGCTCACCAGTGACCTTCCAGAAGCCTTCCTTCGTCGCCCTTACGATCTGGTTTTTGCTGTTTTTTTTGTAAGTGCTGAACAAGTACCATTCTTGATCATCCGACTTTACGAGTGAAAGCCCTGCATAAAACACAACATTTGGTTCAAACCCAATTGCATATAAAGATTATCAGACTCATTCAACGAAAGGGGTAGCGTTTTTCGCACTGCATTTTCAGCTGTTTACACCTCAAAAATGAACATTTTATAATTTTTCCAACTCACAGAAGAGTGCAGAAATCACTGGCCTTCGTAAAATTGTCACCCAAAAAAGAAAACTTTTAATTAAGAACTGGGATTGGTAATAAGTTGCATTAGGATTAAACCCAATTTCCTAAACAGGAAACAGAGATTCAAACTCATTGAACTGCAAATTGAAAAGTTTTAGTATAATTCTCATAAAAAAAATAATTAAAAAGATTGAATTTTTTAAGAACTGGGTTTGATAATAAAGTTACATTTGGACTAAACCCAATTGCATAAACGGAGTGTCGGATTCATTGAACTGCAAATTCAAAGTTTTTACCAAAATTTTCAGCAAAATTTAAAAAACATAAAATTTAAGAACTGGGTTTGGTAATTAATTTACATTTGGATTAAACCCAAATACCCAATGGAAAATACAGATTATCAGACTCGTTGAACTAAGAAAATAATCAAAATTTAAGACCTGGAGTTTGCAAATAATTACCAGGCAAGTCCCTTGGCTCGTGGTTGCAGATATCGATTTCACTGACGACGTCGCTGACAATGTAATCCATTCCCTCGAGCTTCATCTGCAAGTAATAGTGGACCAGCTCTTCTTCTGTGGGGCGGAATCGGAATCCCACTGGCACCAATATGTCACCTGCTGATGCTCTGGTGAAGCGGCTTCCATTGGGAGCCATCTATCTTTGATGAAGGAGAATCGGAATCTGGATGAGTGCGTTTGTATAGGATTAGAAACACAGGAGAAAGAATACGGAAACTGACTCGGGCTTAATCAAAGTGTTCGGCTTTCAGTTGTTGATTTTCTGCTTAATGGAAGAAGATGTTAAACTTCTGCCTCTGCTTCTGCTTTTAAGGAGGAACGGGACTTGCTGCTGAAAAACCAGCAGCAGCCCCGGCTGATGTGCCACGCGTTTTTTTCTCTTTAATTATTATATTCTGTCCCTTTGATCAACCCCATCTTGGAAGTTCGTTTTCCTTTTCTGGAACTTTAGCTTTTAGAATATTTAACATTTTGGAATCTGCCGTCATAAAATCTGTCAAAAGTTACAGGACCTTTTCTTACATTGAATTACAAATCCAAAGAGTAATGGTAGGTAAATTCTCTCAAAAGTTGAGTTTTGAACTTTCTATACCTCATATTTTGCATTATGTTTTATAATTTTGACACAAAGATTACTATAAAATTATGAAGTGACTGGAAGTTTGTGGAGAGTTCCACTTTGAAAGAGTTTCTTTATCATTTCTTAGAAATCGAAAATCAAATAATAATGAGAAATGCTAAAGAAATTTTCTTAAAGTGAGCTTTTTCATGGTCCCTTTGTCACTTTAGAGTTTAAAATTAATTTTTGTTTCAATATTATAAAATATTATGTAAAAAAATATAAGATGACGGAGAGTTTATAGAGAATTCTACTTTGAGAGTCTCATTAGCATTTATCAATAATAGAAATGATTTCTACACTAATAATACTTGGTTACGCAAAACTTAAGTAAGAGCTCATTCTCAAGACTCTTCATTTTCGATTCATACAACTTCGTATTTATGATTATAATCGTTCATATTATAAATCAGTTTATAAAGATTAGCTCTACAAAAATTTCAATTAAAACATTGTCATTTAGTCATGGAACAACATAAAAATAGATGGACAAATCAGGATTAAAGCATTACAAATCGTCTATCTATTTGCTACAATTGATTGACTAAATAATCTCAGTTTTAATCTTTTTTTATGTAAAGATGATTTTTACAAAATGATTTATGATATAAAGGGTTCTGATTATAAGTACCAAGTTTTGTGAACCGAACAAGAAATTTTTTTAGTAGGAGTACCTACTCATTCTTTACGTAGCCAAAAATTGTTTTTTACTACTCGCTCATTTTTTTCATTTGCACACCTTATTGTTTTCATTCGTTGATTTTCTGTAACTTTTTTAAAGCAACGATCACAAATAAGTGGGTTGTGCATGTGGTGAAAAATGATGTGTTGAAATCTCCCGTAATAATACTAGACTTTCTAATATGGAGGGATTTCTACGGTCTCACTAATTTTTATATTTGATTCTCTTTTAATTTGTTCAATTCAATAACTAAAAAGGAATTTGTAGGAACTGAAAATATATGTGAAAATCATTTTTCTTCGTCTATACAACAATGAATGTTTACATTGTAAGTCACGTGATCTCATATCCTAAGAGAGAAAGAGAACGCGTAATATTCAAATGATTAAACAAAACTTTGAAGAATAAGTTTGAAGATGGTACTAAGAAAAATCAAGTTCAGGTTGTCATCCATAATTTCAATTCTTCAAAACTGCATTCATGTGTACACTCCCTAGTCCTCTAAAACTAATAGAACCTTTGTATTTCTCGATAAAGTAAAAGCAAGCCAAAATACTCAACCTTGAGAAAATGACGGTTTTACCTCTTAAAGTGCATTACATATAAGTCATGTGACTTAAAATTAATATAAAATTAAATAAAATAGATTTGAATCTTTATAATAGGGATGACGTTAGCAGGTTTTTATAATGAGTTTAAACATTTATTTTATCAAAAAAATAGTTTAGAGACGTCATTTCACTCGGATAATAATCAATGACCAAAGTGACCGTTTACTATATATTTAAAGCTAAAACTGAGATAAAAAATTTAGGATCAACATATCTAAAAGTATAAAACTGCAAACTGGCATTGCTAGGGTTGGTTGGTTTACATCTTTGATGTCATTAACTCTCTACTAAAACATCTCAATGTGAGATCAAAGGAGATTAAAATACGTGAGATTCGAGGCACATAACGTGATCCGAGTGCCCTTATCCAAGTTTATTCCCTTTCTTTCCTCCCTCTTTATAGGAATATATTTGAATTTTGTGATTGGAGGATGGAGATATCCAATACTTCCTCAGCAAGTCTCAAGTACTTCCTCAGCAAGTCTCAAGTACTTCCTCAGCAAGTAGTCTTCTAGTACACTACTGACTACCCCACCTCACATATATATTGGTACATGCATTCACACCTTTTTGTTCCCTTTTTCACTTAATCCATAATATCATAAGTGTATAATTCATAAATTTTAGGATTAATTCCACAGAGTAAAGATAGGACAATACTTGGGATTGGGTATACATCATTCAATACCCAATATATACTGACCTATTACATGACTCAAAAATATTACAATATCTGTTCATTTAATATTCATAACCAAACATCCATTTTTTTAGTTTTCTCTTATCTGTGCCGTTGCAAATATGATCAGCCTCATCTTCTTCCATGTCAATCAATACAAAACCTTCCATGAAACCATTTCATGATTCACTGTCACCTTCCTCCCCCACTGCCATGGCTGCCACAAGAAATAAGGGGACGGATTGGGGGCGGAGTCGATGGTGGAGACGGGTGGGAATGATGGAAATGACGAGGTTGGGTCGACGGAGGTGAAAAGGTTGAGTCGACGGAGGTGACAGGATGGGAACAAATGCAAAAGCTGAAGGAGGCGAGGGATTGACCAGATCTCCCATGAAGGAAAAAGATAAGTGTTTTGTTATCCACATCACCAAATTATTGATCCACATAACAACTGAGTATTTTGAGTACTAATTGGTAAGTTCTCAATACCCGAGTATTATGCATGAAGATATAAACCACAGTATTATTCGGTAAATGTGCCTAGGAAGGTCGCGTTAATCTTTCCCTAGGCATCAAATTTGAATGGTAATGCAACTCTCCTTCAAACCCTTTTTCACCAAGCAAAATTTTTTAGGTGGGTTGTGCAGCTGTGGGCTATGACATATAGGTGGTAAATGGCCCATTTGGTATCTACTTTTAAAAAACAAACACAGACCTTCAACCACTGGGGGTGGTGGCGCAGTTGGCCTGCGCGTAGGTCTCATAGCTTCCGAGTTATCCTGGGGTCGAGAGTTCGAGCCTCTCTCAACCCATTTCCTTTTTATCCTTTTGCGATTATGCAACAACATTCTAAGTTTAACTTTCAACCTCTAACAACACCAACGACTTCATGGTCTAATGTATTGCGATTATATTTATGCAACAACATTCTAAGTTTAACTTTCAACCTCTAACAATACCAACGACTTTACGGTCTAATGTACATCTCTTTCACAATTTTAGAAGATCCTAAAATTTCAAATCCCCGCTCCCCAAATGATTTCTTTTGAAATTATAATATATATATATATATATATATATATATATATATTTAGTATAACAATATATTTTACACATGGAGAGTTCGGTTAAGCCACATAATAGGCAACCTAATTTGGTATCGAATTCACAATCCACGAAATTTAAATCTAAGACACCTCTCACTTACAAGTGAAGAGGAATACCACCAAACCGTAGTACTGAGTGACTTTTGAAATTATATAAAACAAAAAACATTTCAACTTCCACAATTTTACAAGATATCCCACTAGTTCAAATCCTCACTCCCCAAATGATTCTTTTGCAACTACAGAAAAACGAAAAACATTTCAACTTCTAACAACACGAACAACACCGTGGTCTAGTAGTGCTTCGTGCTTCTATTTCACAATTTTAAGAAGATATCCCAAAAGTTCGAATCCTTGGTGTGAAATCACATTCCCGGAATTTCACCATTCATTACGTATCTCGAATTTTAAATTCTTATTTCGCGATTACGCTATCTTTATTAGTTAATTTTAATTCCACTAATTATAAGTTTAGTAATTGATTAGTTATTGAGTTGGAAGTTTCATAATCAATCTTTATCGTTCGTTGATATTTCGAAGTTACAACTAGTGTTTTTAAATAGATCTCGAACCCACGAATACATAGGCGAAAGTCGTTGCGAGTCCAAATTATAACGGTATAGTTACGGACGTTTGAAATTGTGAACTATAGATTGTGGGAATCATGGGTTAAAGGTTAAGTTAAGTTAGTAGAAAAAAAAAAAAAAAAAAGAGGGAACCTGTCATATTTTTTTTTTAAAAGGGTATGAAAGGACCCATTTGGAAAGAAAGTAAGGGCCACTTTTCTTTTCCCCCCGCCTATTTGTGAAACCGTGAGGCTTGAGCTCCACCAACCAATTTCAAACCGGCCAATTCCTCCTATTCTCAACTGATTCTCCTATCTCCTTCACCTGCAACTTGCTTAAATATCTTGTCCCTTTCCTCTTTACCAAAAATCAAGGGGTTTTAAGGTCTATTTCATGTAGAACTTCATAGGAGAACCCGGGGGTTCTCGATGACGAATTGTCATTCCGGAGAGTATCACCATTCACCATCATCCTTAATCAACTTCCCTTTGACCCAAGAACAAGACCCAACTGGTGGTTGGGGCGTTGGAACACCAAGGAAGCCGAATTGAAGAACACCCATCTTAGGGTTTCGTTGGGTGCGAGCCAATTTGAGGGCCTTCCTGGCCAAATTGGACTCGGGCACAGGTATAAAGTTTACTCTACTCATTGAAATCTTTATTCCTGTAAAATTTGAGAATTTTTGGAGAAAGTCAAATTTTCCGGTGTGTAACATTCGATTTATGAAAATGTTGTTGGTTGAGTATTTTATCGATAAGGTCCGCCACTTGATTATTCTAACAATTGACGATCTTACAGTGTATTGACACCAATTTTAGTATGCTATGGTAGATATTGTTTAAGGACCTTAGTGACTTCCAAGTGAAAATCTAATGATTGGATCTTACGGAATAAGTAACGTAAGATCATGGACCCTACCTTAGAATGACGGTTCGATTCCTCATTAAATGTTGTTATGGGAGATATATGAGAATTTTCAAGTATGTGAATTATCGAAAGAAATCTAAATGTGGCTTGTACCTTGTTAGGCGGCGATACAACGTGATGCCTTGACTATGTTTGAGTGCGTTAGTGTGGATCTCAAGT